AATTTTAAAAACAAGATATCCCCTCCTTGTGTGCACTTCTTGGCAGCAGTAGAGTGAGCATAGGTTGGATTTCAGTTTGCACTCATCTCCTTGGCTGTGCAGGCTCCACAGTGTGTACCATTTGTACAACTCTCAGTTGCATAACTAGCAGTGACAGTAGCTGATTTAACAGATGCCAGTTCTAGACTTTCCTGAATGGCAAAGCCAACCTGGGTCCCCTTTTTGGACTATTTGTCTTTTGGACTATAGGAGCTTCCAGTGTTCCAGCAAGCTCTAGGGAGAGGGGAAGACTCTAAGGGCAGAGAGAGTAAGACTTTATGCAAATAAAGCAGTAGGTACTTGAGCAATTAACTGAACATAAAAGAAGCTTAGCCACAGTTGTCCCCAAATTGTGGAGATGTTCCTACAACTTATACTACTGCTCCCTGCATGCTGTTCTGATTTTCATGTCTTCTATGTAGGTAGATACTAGGGATTCTCCTGGTCAGGCATAAGTTATTTTGGTTTATGTGTTTTGCTACATATTAGCAAGAGGACTTATGGTTTACACTTGTGAACTTGAACAGTGTGAGTCAGTCTCCCAGCATTAGATCAGTTCTGGGTCAATGACCAAGTAAATATCAGACGGAAAACAGACTTTAACCTGGGCAAATGGTAGTAAATAGAGCTAAATTCAGGCGCCGAGAGCAAGAGTGCCCTGTTGAATTAACAATGTCTCACATGATTGCAGGAGTGGGTCCCTGCCACGCCTTTGCCAACCTTGGGCCACATCAAATTTCTGCAAATGCCTGTTTTGTCCTGCCCTCCCTTTTCCATCAGACCTATGGCCACTCTCTTGCACTTTCCTCACACACTATTGCTGTTGCGTGAAGCTAACCAGAAGTTGTGTCAGGGCAGGGACCCTGCATGTTTCCATATCCATCTTTCCCATCACAGATCCCTGCCCTCAGGAGGGACTTAATAAAAAGGAGTGACTGTCCCACTTTGCCTGGGACTGAGCGATATTTCTTGGTAAGTGGAACTTTCAGTGGTAAAACTGATAGAGTCCTAGGCAAACTGGGATAGTTGGCCACCTGAAGAGTTAGCATGGTTAAAGTTTAAATAGCAGGTGAGATGGATGCAAAATGTGTGGATTCTTTTCCTGAGAGAGACTCGACTCTAAAGAGAAGACAAAGTACTATCCAGAAAAGGGGAAACAGGGTTGAGTTTTTCAGCTTTCTATTCCCCCTCTTTCTTATTTTTAAACCATTCTAAAGCCTTATTTCTAGGATGAGAGAAAAAGTGAGGGTGAGCCTGGATGTAGAGGAGAATTAGGATAATTGAAGGAGCAGCATCTTATCCTCAGGAAGTGAGAGGGGCAGGATGCTGAGCTGTGAGGGCAGTAGAAGGTCTTGTCTGTAGAGAGCTCATGTGTGAAGGTGGGTGGGAAATGGGGGGTGGGGGGGCAATTACAACAGATGTTTTCCATATTGTCAGGACATGGTGTGAGGAGAGGAGGAGGGTGGAGGCTTGAATGGAGATGAGTAAAGGCTTGGGACAACCATTAGAGGATGCAGGAAGACACTAAAACACACTCCAGGCACCAAGGGATGCCCAGCTGAATTGGGGAATTGTGACTATGCATCATACAGTGTAATTACTGACAAGGCTATGATCCAATCTGTTACAATTGCAAGCCTATTACAACACATTATTGGTCTTGAAAAATATCTGCCATTGCACTTAAAAAGAATGGTCAATGGGCAAGTATGGGCTAAACAAGAGATACAAATACTTTCTAATAGGCTGCAGTAGAAAATAACATAAGAGAGGAAGTAACTGTATGTTGAGCCCTTGGCAGGACTGTTATTAATGGGCACTACTTACTGTACTGTGGTAGGTGTCATGGTCAGACACACATGTGCTCAGACTGAAAGGCAATGTGGGGAGAAGAAGAATCAAAGATGGGGCAATTGGAAGACTACATAGGGGCCAAACACACATTCTTGCCATCATGGATAGCAGGGTGGTTTAGAGCCTTGGCCTCCTGGGACTAGAAGTACTCTCTCCCTCTTGGTGGGAATTTATACATACCCCACGAAAACCATTTGTGATAGTTACCAATTTGACCAATGGAAAGACTGCATTTTAATATAGCTAAATAATTGGTCCATGGCTGGTGAATTAGCAGAGATGAGATGTAGCTAAGTGGATTGACTTAGGCCCTCCCCTTGTCTTTCTTACTTTTTACCTATATAATAATAAGGATACTAATAATACCTAACCACAAGCCTTAGTAAGAATTAAATGAGATAATTTATGTGAATGTTCTAGGCACCCCACCAATGCTGCTTATATATTCTTCTAGCATAGAAGAATAGTGGTTCTCAACTGGCAGTGATTTTGACCTCTAGGGGACATGTGGTGATAGAGTTGTTTTTTTTTGTCACAACTAGGGGAGTGCTATTGGTATCTAGCAGGTAGAGGCCAGAGATGCTGCTAAACATTTCACTATGCACTGGACAATCCCCACAGCAAAGAATTATCCTGCCCAAAATGTCAATACTGGTGAGGTTGAGAAGCCCTATGGTTCATAATGCAGGGGACTGGGAACCGTATACACCAGGGATGGCGAACCGATGACACGCGTGTCAGAGGTGACATGTGAACTCATTTTTTTGGTTGATTTTTCTTTGTTAAATGGCATTTAAATATATAAAATAAATATCAAAAATATAAATCTTTGTTTTACTATGGTTGCAAATATCAAAAAATTTCTATATGTGACACGGCATCAGAGTTAAGTTAGGGTTTTTCAAAATGCTAACACGCCGAGCTCGAAAGGTTCGCCATCACTCGTATACACTAACAAAACACAATAGAGCCTCGCAAGTAACAGGCAAATCGTGGTGTTAAGACACTTGTAGATCTGGATCCTGAACCCACTAGTTACTTTTAGCAAGTTATTTAACCTGTCTGAGCCTCACTTTCCAAATGGGAATAATAATAGTACCTACCTCACGGGATAGTCAAGAGACTCAGTGAGCTGGCGCTTAGCTCAGAGCTGGACATGGAAACACAGTGCTGTCATTATTAATGAAAGGCAGGGCAAGTAAGATGCTGGGAGAGAGGTGCGTTGTTTTAGTAAACCAGGGAAGAAGAGGAAATTAAGAAACATTGCAGTGACACTATAGCCTTCATAATTGTCATAGGTTATTGTTTTCCTACTGTGCAATTCTGTCCTGGATGATACTCATCGCCAAATAATACTGATAAATTAAATGACTGTTGAAAAATATTCTGCTTAACACAATGGAATTAATCAGTTTCACCACTTTGGAAGAAATTCTATAGACACCAATTTTCTGGCGTTACAAAAGTTCTTTTCATCGTTAATAAGACTCATTGCTATATTACCCTCTGGTGCTTTCTTAAGAAATGTTTTATTCAAAAGAAAGTGATTTAGTGATGACATCTTAAGTTGTATGTCATGGCTTGATAACCATTTGCTTCCCTCCCCCCACCCCCCACCCCCAAAAAATTCCTTTCTGAAAATATTGCAGTACTTTTGATTTGTACAAACATTGACCTGAATTTTAAAATCTTCTGCAATAGCATTGAGGTTTTGACTTTCTCAAAGGTAGATATTCTCATAATCCTATCTTGGCTGCCTTGAGCAGAGGCAGCTCTCCTTTGCAACATAATCAACAGGCAACATCTTATGTTTTCTGGGTGTTGGTCACTTTTTGCATTGTCATCCTCAGGTCTGCAGAGCTGAAGGGCTCTCCCTTTCCTCTCTAGCTGCTCACTTCCCACCCAGTCTTTTCTCCTCTGCCCCTCCGCCATCCTGATCATGCTGTGTGTACACTTCGTGGCTGGGTAAAACATTTCTGGCTTTCCCCAAATCTCTCTCAGATAACACAGATCAGCCTCCTCACTCTGGGGCCCCTTCAGATTCCATTCATCAAACCTGCTCTTTAGGGAACTTCACACCCTTCACCATTCCTTCCACTGGGGAGAGTGTGGGTAGAGGGAGTGAGGAAGCACGGGGAGGGAGAAGGGACTGGAGGGAGTAATGGAGCAGGAGAGAGGGAGGGAGGGCGCACAGCTTATAAAAAAAGGCAATCGCCAGGCAAATAGATGGGCCAAAAAAGAGCAAGAGACTCGGAATTCTAATGGCTTCCACCTAAGCCTGTGGAACCAATCAAGCAAAGCACTGCAGCAGCTTCGAGGTGTGTTATGTTTTTCCTCTCTGAGCTTCCCAGCAAACTGAAGTGAGAAGTGGAGGAACAGTGTCATCCTCACCCTCTCTGATGAGGAAAATTGGATGCAAAGAGGTTCTAACTTGCCCGGGATGCCCCTGTCAAAGTGGTTGAAGAATGGAAGAAGGAAAGGAGAGAAATGGATCCCAGGCTTGCCCAACTTAAGCCTCTTATATAAGAGGTTTGCAAGAAAAGCTGAGAGAAACAAAATCATCAGAGAGAGCAATGGGAAGCTAGAGAAAGAAAGAGAAGGAAAGAGAGGAAGGACACTGATTTGAGTGGAAAAGAAAGATAAAGATACGGAAAAGGAAGGAGAAAAGCTTAAGAGGAAGAGTGACAGAGAAGAGACTCACCCTCAAGGACCAGCACAAGGGAGGTCAGCGGAGGACCACTGGCCTCCTGTCCTTAATAACATTAACGAGGTAAAGAGACCACACGGGAAGCCATCCCAAATCCATAACTATAAACCTCCGCTCCAGTCCCTTCAATATAGGATTTAATTCATGGTGCCCTAGGAGAGGGAGGGAGAGGATCAGGGCACTGCTTGGAAGGGGCAATTACACTAATATACACTGACCTTTTGCTGGAAAGCTGGAGTGGGGACAGGTGGCCACGGAAGCCACCTCCTGCCCCTTCTGCCACCCCCACCCCATTACCCAAACCCTGTCTTGGCTCATCTGTTCCAGTTAAAGCCAATGGCTTCTTTTTTTTTTTAACACTTGAGATTGTGATTAAAACAATGCCCAACTCCTCTTCATCTCTTTTTCGTGTTTCTTTTATTAAATGAAACTTTTAATCCCGTTTCATCTCCACGTGCATTTTCCAACCGTTCTTTCGTCTTGGGAGAGACCTGGAGTCCACAGCAGTCTCTCACGGGAGGGCGGGTACCTCGCATCAGTCCCGGGGCGCTCCCTCCTCCCCGGGGTCCCCTTCCCAAAGCCCGTCGGGTCTCCAAAGGCTGGAGTACGCGGTGCGCCCGTAGCCCGCGCACACATCGTAGGCCACCTGGCGGGGCTGCGGCGGCGGCGGCGGCTGGGGCAGGACGCAGTCCGAGAAGAAGGGGCCGAAAGAGGCCAAGGGGCCCGGCCCATCCTCCCCGCCGGGGGAGTTCACCGCGGCGGGGTACAGGAGGCGCAAGGGCTCGGTCAAGGTCGAGCCGCCGCGGGGGGGCGCCAGGGATGGCTTCTTGGTCGCGGGACAGGCCGGGGCGCTCCAGGGCTCGGGGTACGGCAGGCTTCCCCCCATCGCCGGCGGCGGCTCGAAGAGGCCGGGCTCCAGCTCGGGGGGTCCCCGCAGGACCGTGGCGCCGGTGGGGAACACATCCAGAGGCTCCGCGGGGAGCAAGACGCCCGCCTCGGAGCCGGCGCCGTAGTCGGGCCCCAGCAGCTCGAGGAACTCCAGGGTCTCGGGGCCCTTCTCCAGGTCGCACAGGTTCACGCTGCACCCCGACGGGCCGCACCCACCGCCGCTCGCCCGGGACGGCTCGGTGAAGAAGGACGGGGGCAGGTTGCGTGCACGCAGCGGCACCTTCCGGGCGCCGGGGGCCGCCGTGCCCCGCAGGGCCGGGAGCATCTCCTCCCGCACCCCCAGAGCCCGCTCACGA